CCTGTTGGTGTACACCCCCTATACAAAATCCCTGGCTTCAAGATCGAGTCTATTCATTTAAAGACAATAACCCTGAAAGCAATTAATCATTCATTTAACTTCACGGACTCCGATGAAATCAGTTATTTCAAATTTCGTTTATTATCTATTTGACTTTGTTCCATAAGATGAATTTTTGTATTTTCAAATAAAATAAATAAATAATCACTATATAAAAAAAAATTTGTTTTTTGCTTTGTTAAATCAAATATAAATAACAACTAGAGAATTTTTTATAGACAAAAAAAAAAGAAAAAGAAATCATTGTTTAAATCGAACAAAAAAAGAAACAATCATTGAAATAAAATCTTCGTAGAATTGTTACTGTTTTTGATTGTATTTTTTTGCACAATGAACATGACCTTGACTACCATCTTGATAAACAACGCATGATGTTTCATAGAAATGTTGTAAACAATGTTTACATTGTCGATGTTCATTAACAAGTGTATTTAAAGATTTTAATTGACTTAATTTAGTATGTAATCTTTCATTTTGTACACGAACTAAAGCTGATTCAATTTTAGTTGAACGTTGAGTATATGAATATGTACGTAAAGCACGTAGAAGTATTTGAGATAATGATGCAAGTGACCAATGTGATGGTAATTGTTGTAACACTTCGATAAAATCAAATTCAATTTCATTATTACATAGAATATGAAGTAATACTTGAGTTGTTTTATCTGAATTTCTAAAGAATTTCTATAGAATAGAACGAAAATGTTCTTTTTTAATACTGAAACTTACTTTTTTAATGAATTAAGAAGAACTTTAAATAAAATATGAGCAACTATTTTTCTATCTTCACTAGATTTTCCTTGTGATAAAGTGATACAATAATTTTCGGCATATTCAAAATCTTCAAGTTCATCAATAAGTATTCGAAAAGCTTGATCGAAATTATTCATCTATACAAATCAATATATATATACATGTAAACCTATTGAAAAATGTTTCTACTTTGCCATTGAGAAGAGCGACTTCACGACGTAATCGATTTGTTTGGTTAACTCGATTTAAAACCGTTTGAACACGATAAGAATTAGATGTGATTATAAATGCTTGCAATTTTGAACTAAAATAGACACGAAAAAAATAAATAAAAATCAAAGATATATTTCATATAGTACCGTATTTGTTCATTATCATCATCAGATTTTGATAAAATTTGATCGAGATAAATATTAACTAACATTGTATGAATTTGATCAGACTTAAAATAAAAATTTCAATCAATCAAAAATTGTTTTATTGTTTCGATTTCGATATGGTATCATTATTTACTAATGGGTTTATCAGAATAAACTAGGATCTATTAAACCTCGTTAATAATTGAAACACAATCAAAACAAATTATAATTTGATTTTTAACTAAAACCTAAAACTAATATAGAGATTAGTTTCTTTCTGTGGGATTTATCACAATGTATTCAGTGCAATCTTGAGGGTGATAATCATCAATGATTAATTTACACAAGAGTCATTCTAAGATCAATCCTTCACTCTCTCTTTTGTTTACGTTATTCGACACGTATTCACAAGGTACTATGTTCAAATCTTGGTATCATCAGCTATGAAAGGACCTTGGGCAAGGCACTAACAGCTGTTTGTCTCGGATCACTCATCCGATAGTATGCTGATTGCATTATGATATACAATACAGGCCTCATAGCTAGTATGCGATTAGTCAACGTGTATGAGGAGCGTGAAGAACTTTACGTTAGGCTGTCGTTCTGCCCAGAGGTGCAGGAAAAACATTGAGCTTCTGAAATTGTCCTTGGACAGCATCATATACTGAACGGTAGCCGAAAAGAACGATATTCTTGGATCGTACGATCTATATTTTTTGTCTTTGAGTGTAAATATAAACGCTTTCTGTTTTAACATGATTATTAGAAGATTGTTGCTAAGAGGTATCCAACAAACGTGCAGAGTACATTAGGTATTAAAAAGAGAATGCCGTATTTTTGAAGAAATTAATAGATAAGAGAAAAACCCTTTAGTAGAAGTATAAAGTATGTGATTCAATTCTGTCTTCATCACTGCTGAATTCAATTGAAGTTACTTTTTTTTATTATAAATTATCTGTTTTCAAATATTTCTTAGTTAATCCCACGTATATTCATCTAGATTTCGACTTATTATTGAAAACATACCTCGAGTTTTAATTTAAATACTGCATATTCCAAATAAGCTACCAATGCTGTTGAATGTTTTTTTAAAATATTAATAACTCGATCTGAAGAGAATGGATCATTGTTTGATTCATTCTTATATTTACTAGTAAATATCTAAAATCATGATTTAATTTATAATAATTTTTTTTAATTATAGGAAAACTGTTTTATATTACTTTAATTGCTAAGTCTTCCTCATGTCGTTCTAATAACCATTCCGCGGTAGAAAATTCTAATGATCGATCGAAATTTCTTTCAATTATATATTTTGCAATAATCCATATCCCCGGAAATGTTTCATCATTAGAATATTCATTCGATATAAGTCTACGCTAAATAGAAAAATTCTTAGATAGTTCGAATATAAAAATAGATATATTAGGCATTACTTTTTCCATATATTTATTGCTTGTTCATGTTTTTGATGCGCCGATGAAAGTAATGCTGCAGCATGGTAAAATTTTGCATCAATTAGAATGTTCGTATAATCAACTGGAATGTGTAAAGAATTAGTTTCAATAAATTCGTTAACTGTTTCATGACTTTTAATAAGTATATATGCTTTTAATAACGCAGGATAATAGTCCTAGAAAAGGAAAATTATTAATTAAACAAAATATCGAAATCGATACTATCATATTTATATCAACGAGTAAAATAGTATTAGTTCAAATAACAGATAATACGCTAAGTCTAGTAATATGAACCTTTTCAACACGAGGATCTATTCATGTCTTAGAAACGTTAATCTTAGTTCATTAAATCATGTTATATTTAAAATAATGATCTTTACAGAATGTAATGTCATCAAAGTTCAAACTGAATTGTACACTCATTCAATGATTTTTGTATCTTATTTAATCATAACTCAAGTAAATCTATCCAATACGACAAATGAAGCCCTGATATATTCTTATCGCACATAAGAAATACAGAACTAAATGAATTTTAATTCGTATAATCTATAATATAGCGACCAAAAGTACATATACGACTTTTCTCTTACTAGTATTTATATCCATATATAACCAAGGGGAGTAACAGCGGCCTTCAAGACTTCACGATTTTAAAGACTTTGAAAGACTTCAACAAGCGAGACTTCATTTTTCCGAAAGACTCCAGAAGACTTCGATAGACTTGAAAAAATTCAAAGATTTCAGAAGACTACAAGAGACTTCAATGGACTTCACAGATTTCAAAAGACTTCATAAACTTCAAGAGACTTTCAAGACTTCATGAGACTTCATGCATGAAGCCTCCGTTGTTACTCCCACGTCTCCCCGTGAAATAAATGCATCTATAGAAATTCAGAAGATTGCATTAGATTTCATAAGACTTCAGGCATGAAGTCTCTGTTGTTTACCCCTTGTATATAACTTCTTAGATTTTAAAACTACAGTCATATTTTGTTCTTACTGGGTGACGAGAAAAGTCTACTGATTTTTTTGTCATATAATCACAGCATGCATTTAACCATTGAGTATATTGATTTTGAAGATTTTCATCTATAGCTGGCCATGAAGAATCTAATGGTAGAAAATTTGGTATTTGTGATATAATCTGAAAATACAATTGAATTGGTTTTTTTCTCTAAAGATAATTTAATTTCTTACTTCATGAAAATCAATATGGATCTCTACGAATAAGTTTACTGCACGAACAACATTCATTGCACCAAATTCAATAAATGCAATACGTTTTTTTGTTAATAACACAAGTGGATTTGTTCTACGTTGTTCTACTAATGAACAATTACTTTCTGCTAATGTTAATGCTTCCTGTAATCGATATTGATTAAGTAATTGATCAATTTGTTCTTCAAGACCAAGTGGTTCAAGTAAATAAATATTATCTTTATCAGTTAGAATAACAGTTTTTAGGTTTTCTTGTTGCATATTTGTTAATGTTCGACATTGTTTTAATATTTCTTGTTTAAGTTTATCGTCCAAATAACTTGAATAAAATTTATTTTATTTGAAATTTTTGAAAAAGATATATTCATACCTGTATATTTGAATATAATCTTTAACAAGTACAATTAAATAAGGATGTGAATAGATAAAATTCAAAGGTGGACTAGTAAACATTAATGGAGCACGTTGACTTGTACCTTCTAACGAAGTTGTAACACCAACATGAGGACCATTAAGTAAATATTGCCCCTAAAATTATATCCGAACTTCGCTATTTTTTGATCGAGTCTTCATAACTGAATGGTTAACTTATTCGAATTACTTTTACAATAGTAAACTAACTAAGTATGACATACATCGAATCGATGAAATATATACTGACGAGGGAACCTCTCGAAGTGATAAAAAGTTGTAAGGCTCAGACTAGTTTTAGCTAGTAGACCCTAGCGAGCAGTGACATACTCTAAGTTGGCTTCGTGCCCTTATTGCTTTGGGAGTGAGTTATGGTCAATTCACTATTTTTTTGACGTATGACAGTATATGAGTGACTTTG